TTGAATATGTATGGACTAATTATGTTAATTTGCATTTCTAACCATTTCCCAGATGATACTAATGCTGCTGATCTAGGGATCACACTCAGAGATTAAAGAGATGGTGACTGTTCCTACCTTGGGCACTTTAGAATTATCTGAAGAGGTTTAAAAATAGAGATTATTATTTCAGTAATGTGTGCTGTAACTTGGCTTGGGGATTCTTTAAAAGAATGGGTGATTCTCACTCAGCCAAGATGGAAGGCAATTAGGATAGAGATCATGAAAATAAATAAATAAACAAACAAACAAACAAATAAGTAAATAAATTATTGTGTTCTATTTCTGACTCACTTGTTACAGTAATTTTCTAAAAATAGCTACAAAAAATAGGGGCCAATATGACACAACCAATAGTGCACACTTGGCAATTCCATTAGTTTTCTTTTTATCACATATAGAATTTTTGATATATCTACTAAAAAAAAGGAAAAAAAGCTATGAATTATCCCATTCCCTAGAAATAGCTATAGTTTGTTTAATCCTTAAATTTATCAACAAAAGATAATCTCTAAAAAAAATACCATTCCCTCCTCATTCGGTGAGCTGCTAAGTCATACAAGATCATCAAATATAATATAAGATGACAGGTGATCAATTCTGGATATAATTTGGGGATGGGGATGGGCTGAGTAATTTTATGGCTCATTTTTACTGAAAGAATGTCTTCCCTTTCCATAAAAACACCTTTAAAATCCGGCCTGCGGACTCAAGAGTCCCAGGTTCGATTCCGGTCAAGGGCATGTACCTGGGTTGCGGGCACATCCCCAGTGGGGAGTGTGCAGGAGGCAGCTGATCGATGTTTCTCTCTCATCGATGTTTCTAGCTCTCTATCTCTCTCCCTTCCTCTCTGTAAAAAATCAATAAAATATTTAAACAAACAAAAAAAAAGCCAGCACTGAGGAGAAGGAAGGACTTTGGGTCAGAGGCTGCACCCTGCTGTGTGTTACTGTAGAGCGGACTGCAAGGTGGAGTCCTCAAAGACCAGAACAGCTCCTTTATACTTGTCTCCCTTCCAGATCCACAAGCTGGGTGTGTGTGTGCAAAGAAAGAAAGCTGTGATGCTGTAATGTCCATGTTGGCCTCAAAAACCTCTCCTCTCAGGTTTAGTTCCTTGATGATTATTCCTAAACCAACATTCTAACAAGTAGCTCGGGTCACATTTTATAAAGAGGACCAGCAGACCTTCATCCAGGGGCCTTACCATGGCTGGAGGGACTTGCTTGGATAAAATTTTGGTTGGCTAATAAAATCCTATTTAGTACATCAAAAGTGATATTGTCAGCCATCTGAATCCTAATCATTCGCGGTTTACAGTAATCAAGAGCTATTGCTGTAACTAACCAAGTGCCTCTTTGAATGCAACCCAAGCCTTTTAAAATCAAGCCTAAAGGCAAAGGTAAACTTATAAAATAATGTGTGTAATTAATTGAACAAACATGTCACTAATCCAACAAACAACAGGAAGCTGAGTGCAAGAGTATTTCAAGGCATGTGCTATATTAATGTGATCCTAAATTTAGGTGCAAAAAAATTCAGTTATATGGAATTCATATCAGCATCTCTAATCTGATGTCAAGGAGCTCTGTTATATTTTGTGTAAAAGATTATTGGAGTCAATTACCAATGAAAACACAGCCTCTCTCATGACCATTGAATGGATGTCTTTAAGAAAAAGAACAAGATGTAATCGTCTCCACAGCCAGCTTTGGCAACCCTAGGACCACACGCTCAAATTCCAATGAGGCTCTCACTCATCCATTACGCTCTTTAGTTGTTCCAACCAAATGCCGAAGGGGTGAGACAATGCTTGGAAGAAGAGAGCAGAAGCCAAAGTGAGTGCTATGAACATATTCGTAATCTCATCTCTCAAGACCATGGCAGGCTTTTCCATCAGTTTCATTTCGGCTTCTCCTCTACACATACGTCAATTGTGACCCGTACAGTGGTACCCTGCCAGGGCTGCAAAGTGACAGGTTTCAGAAGAGCTAGCTGTGTTATAACACTGGCTACACAGTACACATGGTGAAGACAAGAGAAATAAAATAGTTTAAAAAATTCAGGTTCTAGTGTCTTCCTAACCTCTGGAACTGGTCTTGCTTCATTGAAAAATGAAGATTATAATGCCGGCTTCCCATCACTTCAAAGGTATCTTAATCTGACCTTCTGAGATGTAGACATTAAAAAACAGTTATGGGGTTTCTACTTGTTTTGTGGAAAGCAAGTCACACGATAAATGTGCTCCTACTCTAACAAAATGAGAGGCCAGATCATATACGAAAACAAGGTTATTTTTCAAAGCCTGTGAGAAAACTGAAGTCACAAAAATTAGTAATAATAATAATAATTTTTAAAAATCATATAGAACTGAAGTCCAAAGTTTGACAACCCTCTCCAAGAACAGAAGGGAATCGTGGCTACTTTATTCCCTAACTGAGAAAGAAGAAGCTACCTTAATGCAGATAGAAAAAATGGCTCAACTTTCAGCAAAGGTTAAGCCTATGTTTGGACTGGCATGACTGTTTGGCCTAGGGAGCCCTAGGTTACTCCTCACCTGAGGATATTTCTTCCATCGATTTTTCGATGGGAGGGAGAGACAGAGAAACATCAATGTGAGAGAGAGACATGGGTTGGTTGCTGCCCGCACGCACACGATCAGGGTCAGGGATCAAGCCTGCCACTGAGGTAGGTGCCCTTGGCTGGAATCAAACCCAGGACCCCTCTTTCCGAGGGCCCACGCTTTATCCACTGAGCAAACTGGCTAAGGCTCCCTGCCAATTCTTTTTCCCAGGCCTTCATGAGTATTCATGACAAAGGTGAGAGACATGGGTTGGTTGCCGCCCGCACGCACACGATCAGGGTCAGGGATCAAGCCTGCCACTGAGGTAGGTGCCCTTGGCTGGAATCAAACCCAGGACCCCTCTTTCCGAGGGCCCACGCTTTATCCACTGAGCAAACTGGCTAAGGCTCCCTGCCAATTCTTTTTCCCAGGCCTTCATGAGTATTCATGACAAAGGTGCAGGGTAGTGGAACTGAGACAAAGTGATAGTGAAATTTTAGGGCAGCCCAGGAGAAATAAGAGAGTAGTGAAAAGAACTGAGAAAACCCCATGCTATGCCCAGCTTGAGACATATGCTACTAGAGTTTGAGGAGACATAATGCTGAGAGAGGACCCCCGCCACACACACAGAGGATAGATACACATGGCCTGCACCAGTCTGACAGTGGAACAGAAATGAGCCACACCTGTGGTAGATAACAAAGCTCAGACACAGCTTAACTACTGGCCTAGTTTACTGGTGATCACAACCGTGACATGCGCACATATACACTGCAGTGTACAGAAAAGGCATCAATATTTTTCTGAGCAGAAATATTACCTTTAGTTTATATTTTTCTACTTTTATATACAATGTTCAGATTTTTTTTTAAAAATGAGATTCATGAAAAGGCAAGAAAATAAAGCTCATAATCCAGATAAAAAGAGTTAATAAACTAGACTACGAATAGCCCAGACATTGAAATTGTCAAATAGAAACATTCAAATCACTGATGAATGTATGTTAAAGTACATAGAGGGGAAAAGTAGCCAATATTCAAGGGCAGATAGGGAATTTAAAAGATGAAAACTAGACTGATGAGCATAATGTAAATGTTAGAAATGGCCATGGGTAACTGAAACCACAGAAAGAGAAACTGTGAATAAGGGGATACGACTGTGGTAGATGAAATAGTTCCTTGTGCCCCTTCCATCAAGTACCCCTACCCATCCAGAAATAAACACTGATCTTATAGGTTAGTTTTGCCTAATTAGGACTTTATAAAAATAATTTTACAGTATATAATATTTTGTTTCTGAAGTCTTTCAGAATATTGTTGAGATTCATTTATTTTCTTATATATCATTAGTTTATTCCTTATTATTACTAAGTAGTTTTCCACAATAAAAATACACTGTTAATTGCCTATTCCTTTGCTAATGGGCACTTGAGATTTTCCAGATTTTGGTTATTATAAAGTAGAGGAGCATGAAATTCTACACGGGTAGGGTCTCTAGGGCTGGCCAATGATTAGGGCCAATCTGTGAGTTGACCAGCCGGGCAACCGGGGGGGCCCTGCTGGCACCCGCCTTGGCTGGCCTGGTGTGTCCTGCTTGCTGGCCCTGCCCCTCCCCCCGCCACCAGTCACCTCCCTCTGCAGGAGGCAACCAGCAGGGTGATCGGGGGTGGGGAGA